GGTTCATTCCCCCCCCGCCACGTAGGTGCTGAGGGCCTGCCCCTGAGGGCCCGCTGGTCCCCTGCGCCCCAAGGTGGGAGTGATGAGGGGTAGTTCCCACATGGGTGCTCAGGACCGGGCTACGAGGGGTAATTCCCCCCGACATGTGCATGGGATCATGCAGCCAGGGGCTGTGGGCCTCCCCCCCGACATACGTGTCCTTACCACCCAGCAGCAAGGGGGAATTCCCCCCACCACGGTGGTAAAGACTCTAATAAAGGGAAAATGAAAGGGCAGAGGGCGATGGGTGCATCTGCTCCGTGCTGTAAAATGGGCTCTCATCTTTATTCCCCAAACCTAAGGGGGATAGGAGAACGTGGGGTCCTTCCTCACGTCCCATTGTGGCCTCTCTACCTGCTGTCAAGACCACAAAAGTAAGGAAATAACATGATTCAAACGTTTTCCAGGTTCGTGTTCCCTCGCTCGCAGTAGGGAGGCATGTTTCCTGACACAGAGCTTTCCTCCTCTTCCCATGTTGAGGAATCTGGACCCGCTCTTGTGCTTGTGCTGCAGTTCATGACCCCCTGAGAGAGTCGCTGCCTCTCTTAGTAACAGCCCCTGTTACTGTAATGTATTTAGTTTACCTGCTTTCCCTCCTCTGTGTCTCAAGAGGAGGATAGAAACCAGGAACAATGAGTCCTCGGTATGTGGTGTCTGTGAAACAAGGTGGATTTTGGTTACGTTTTCTTACTGTCACTTAGCTCTGAAATGCTGTTGGCTGGGCACAGTTCCAGAAATCAGATGTACACGTATTTACACTTTGGGAAGTTAGGCCTGTTACTCCATCACTCCACCTTTCCCTTACAGCTCTCTTCCTCTCTGCTCTTCCCCCTTTTAACTCCATCTGAGCAGAGGACACCACCCCTGTTGTGGTTGCTAATGGCCAGTATGGCTGTTTTGGCTCCATGGCTAGAATGGAGCAGGGCCTCTTTTTAACTGGCCTGGTTTAATTCTGGAGCAGTACTTGTACAGGAGTGTACATAGAGGTGGACAGGGGTGAGGTGTGGCTTGGTGTGTGTAGCTAAAGAGGGGCTTTATCTTTTATTCAAGTGTCCTGCTATATTATGGCAATTGTTTGTGTAGCAATTGCATTAACTTTTTAGCTTGTCTTTTACCTTCTGAGAGTCCCATAGGAGACCCTTATCTTTGACCAGCTAAACCCACAGGGTGCAGGATTAAATTCTGGCCTTGATTTAGCCTCAGGTGCTTGGGGCTGGGTTCATCTCGGCTGTCTGTAAACTTCTGAAAATCAGGTATTTAGTCCAAGCTACATTTCTAGGCACTGGCTACTACCAAGAAGATGACAGAGGGTTTCTTTAGTGTGATTTATCATCTTCTGTCACAAGTAAGCAGGGTGATTTGCCTGTCTTTAGTGACTGAAAGAGTCTGAATTGATGTTTTAGGTGGCTAAAACTTGAGAGCTATGTCTCTGTGATCCAGCCTCCTACATTACCCAAGAGGTTTAAGGCTGGTGAGCATCTTGCTGACTTCTGGGGTTGCAGAAGCATGTGAAACTCTTTCTGTGGGGTAGTGCAAACTTGCAATTTGGAAATTGTCAGTAAAATTCTTTTTCTCTAGGTTCTCTCGTATGATGGTAAAAGATCATAATTTGACATCTCAACAGTGTTTCCACCAACTTGTGCAAAAGAAACCATTTCTTCCACCTGCAGTGTGGCATAATGCAGGTAAATACAACTTAAAAATGAAGAGATGAATGTACTGTGGGTTTGTGTCTTGTGGCAGTAATGAAAGTTTGGTATTCCTTCTGAAAGCTGAGTGGTGTAACATTTCCTAGGTGGCTTTTAATGCAGTTTTAGTGCATTTGGAGCTTGGAGAGGTTTGGATGGCTCGTTTTGTGCTTGATTATGCATCTTTGTTCTATGTCATTCAGCTGCCAAGGCTTACGAGGGGCTTTGTTAGTGCAAAATATTTGGGCTTTAGCTGCACTTCTTAATTCCTAAGTGTAAATGTATTTGTTGTGAAAGACTTTGTGTTGCCTTCTGTCCAGCTTCAGCTCCTGAGCTCTGCCAGATAAAACTGCTCACTGTCCAGCTAGAACCTGGCAAGGATGGAGGCAGAGCTTTTCATTCCTAAACCTGCAATACTTTCTTGTTTAATTTCCCCCCTCTTGAACATGCATTCACGTGTGGTGCTTTAATGGCATGCTTCAGGAAAATTGTCTGCAGCCTGGTGTTACCCTGAAAAAGCAATGTTTCAGATTGGCTTTGCTGTACTTGCCATTTTTGGGGACAGGGTGTGATGCTCCGAAAAATTAAAAATAATCTGAAATTTGCAGTGCAGAAAAACATTGGGTTTGCACCTGCCTGAGGGATTTAACAACTGATCTCTAATGCTGCAGTAGACAGAGTGTAAGGCATTCTGCAGGTGCTGTTGCATGGCATTAGTCACGAGTGGAAGTCTTATTTAAATAAGTCTGCTCAGGCAGAAGGTTCTTTTTAATTTTGATTTCAGACAAGTCCTGTCTTACCTGCTCCAGCACCATTTTTCCTTTTGCAGTTTTACTCAACAGGCAGACTCTGACAAGTAGATGTAGTATTTTTACCTGCTTCTGCAAGCATCCTGCTAACAGTGGCCTCTGTTTGGTGTCTTCCTTCTTACCTTGAGCTCATGAAACCAGATGCATGCACGGGCATATACCCAGTGTTCCACGGAGGGTTGAAAGAAGCACCATAGATGTTTGCTGTAAATGCAGGCTATGGAATAATAAATTCCAAATGAGTTATTTTCACAGCTGTGCAAAGAACTCTCCAGGTTGATTCATGATTGAAAAACCTGGTCTTAGGAAGGCAGATCCTCAACTGCAGAAGTCACTTCTAACTACAGAGGCTCCCCACACAGACACCTTTTCTGAAAGCTGATGCAGCCATTTGTGTTTCGGGCTGTTAGAGCTGGTAGATGGATAATGTGATCCATTGCTTTCAAAAACTGGGCACTATACTCAGTTTACACCATGCAAATCCCCCATTGCTGGTCATTTGTAAACTACACTTTTACACCGGATGTGATTTTGGATGCCAGCTGGGTTTGGAAGATGAGTAGTTCTTCCATCCCTGTGGATAAAGCTGGCTGGTTGCTTGCTCCATTGGGATGTTGCATGTTAAAACTAAGAACATCTGTGCTTAGTCTGGCTAGCTAGAAAATGTGTGTGCTTTGCCATTGTGCATGTTGAAGTCAAATGGCTTGTTACCATGACAGACACATGCATTAACATTTTGGCAATTTAGAAGTAGTGTCATTTGCCGTCTAATACTAAAGAGTCGTGAGCAAAATAGCACTTGGTAAAAATGAAAATGTCATCTCTTTTTGCTGCTCTAAATCCCCGCTGCATGTTTTTTGAGTTCTGTGAGTTTGTTTCTCAACTATAATTTGTTTACAGATGTTAGTTCCTCGAGATCTTTTGGCCTAAAATGCGTTTTTATTCCCTGGATGTTTGTATATCGTTGTGTTCTTTGATGTGCAGGGAGAGTTAGGAAGGAGGAGAACTAGAAAGAATTAGAAGGCGGGTGTTCAGTTTCAGTGGGACATCACGAATATGCTGTGTGGACACGTCTGCAGGAAAATACACTATTAAATGTACCCCATTAAATGCAGAGTATTAACTTTCAGTCAAGACCAGGTTATTTACATTCTGCTAGTGAAAGACAGACCCACTCCACAAAAGGAACTTCAGTAAAATTTATCTTTTAAACATCTTTGCCAGTGAATTGTAAGTAATTTTATGTTGAGTTGTTTGGTCAGTTCAGTTTCTGGAGGATAAGTGATAGCTTAGAGTAGTTTTTCACTCTGGAAAGTAGAAGCAGGGAGTGGTTCACTGTAACTGTTGTTGCACGTGGTTTTCTTTTTTGTAGTGCTGAAAAATGAGATGAAACCCAAACCCCATAAATCATATGTATCTCCAAGAGAGGGTTTATAAAACTGACTATGGTTTCAAGAGGAAATGATAATGCTGGAAGAGGGACTGATCAGCATTCGAGCACCATAAAATTAAGAAACCTGAACACAGCAGATGTGAAGGTTGTGTCTCTTGGCCTTCAGTAGAAAGGGAGGATGGGACTGGCCTCCTGCTGTTGCAGTAGGATGTTTTTTAGTAAATAAAAAGCTAGCAAAAGGAGCAAAGACAAAGCTTTCATTTATCATCTTGTTTGCTGTGAGATGATGTTCCTGTGTTTATCAGTCTTTGTCTGAAAGCTTTTGTGGAACCCACTGTGGTGTTCTTCAAAGTATCACTGCTGCTGTTTGCTATAGCACAGCCATCACCCTCAGCTTGGCTTCCTGAAGAATCAGGGTCCTTGATTTCATTTAAGCTACTTAGGTTTGATTACCCTGTTTTTCTTCTTTCTGTTTTTTGTTTTGTTTGTTTGCTTTAAATTCCAGTAAGGGGGATGTTTATTCAAACTCAGGACACACCAAATCCAAACAGTTTGAAGTTTATTCCTGGGAAGGAAGTGCTGGGGTCGAGGACTATGGAGTTTTCCACACCAGCTGCAGCGTTTTGCTCACCTTTAGCAAGGTATTATTAAATTTGTCTCGGGGGGGGGATCTGTATGGGCTGTGTGGTGACAACTGATGTTTTAAGCACATTCTGCTCCTTATAGTTGGGAGCAGCTTGGTTGGATTTCAGTTTTTAATGCTGCTTGCCTTGTGCATAGGATTGAAGCTGGGAGGACTGTTGTTACTAAAGTAGTCCTTCCCTGTGTCCGTACTCCCCATGGCTGTATCATCATGCTCTAGTTCATGCAACTGGATTGAGTGGTATCATAAATCAGCATTCTTGAACAGTGAGACCTCTGGCCCTGAGTTCACAAAATCATTCCCATCAGAACACTCTTAATTCAAGTAGTTGCTTGGAAATCACACAGCTTCTCGCAGTTGGGAAAAAGATCCTCACAAGTCTCTCTGGAAATACTTGGAAGCATCCCATTTGCATCATTGCTTTCACATTTGCCTCTGAAAAGAACCTTTATCCATTATATGGGTGGAAGGGCTTCAGTATGAGCAGGAGACCCAGAGATGCTGCAGTAGGTTACCTCTGGAGATCTTAGTTTAAGTCATCTTTGTGTATGTTTGAAGAATTATATGTAAAAGTAGAAGCTGTTTCACATGACACTCTCCAGGAACTGTAGAGTTATCAAACATGCAGCTCTGATGTTCCCAGCTCTGTAGAGTTGTTTGTGCAAAAGGATCTTTATGAGCAAAGCTCTGCTAATCAAAGAAATACCATGTGCAAGGGGTGTGAGGACATCACAATGTGTTGATGAGATGCTGAAGCTGTAGGATGTGATAATGCCAAAGTGCATCAGGCTGTAGAGTGCAATTCACTGTCAGAAAGGAGCTTTTTGTTGTCATCTATCTGCAAATAGATGTTTTCATTAAAGAAGATGTATGTGGTAGAATGTGTACCCTGGCAAACCAGCTTGCTTATGTGTATCATGCAGGTTAATGGAGAAAAACTGTCTATATCCTTAAACCCCAGATTATGGGTTTTGTAAATGGAATACTTATTTATTTTAAAGGGCAATATTAATTTTCCAAGGAAGTATTAAAAGCTTCCTGAAGGAGATGAAGTGGGGAGTACTATTTTGGTTGATCCAGGTTGGTTTGGTGCACTTGCATAAAGTCATAGTTTGAGTAAAATGCAGTTGGTTTAGTGATATAAAAGCCCAGAACACGTGTAACTGTTTCATGTGTAGAAATGCTTTCAGATGGCTATTGTGAAATCTTTTCATCATGCATACTTTTGTGATGAGATTTCCAATTCTTTCATTGTATTTTTGATGTTTTACAGGAGATTCCACTCCCCCCACCCCCCTCAGATTACAAAATCATTCTTACAGCCTTATTCCATATTTACCTCTGCGTGCTTCCTACTTTTAGTGCTTTTTTAAATTACTATTTATTTATTTCCCTTTTCAGGGGTAGCATCATTTATTTATTTTGTGGATGAATTTGTTGGGGTTTATTTAACCATCTGTGGAGATTGGTTTTTGCATTCTCATTCTGCTTTTTGTACTTAATCGTCAAACATCTGCGCTTGCCTCTCATCTAAGCTCTTGTGTTGCTTTGGCTGTGTGCTAATTTACCACCTGGTTGTTGGGTGCTCTATGGGGCCCTCTCAAGCAATTGAATATGAATTTTAAGCCTTTAGTAGCTAAAATGACTAAAACTATTGAAGATTGCTCACAAAGTGAGTTGGGTGTTTAAGCCTTGTGGACTGCTTGGCACTAATCCTTTTATTTAATGGCAGCAGAATTGAAGGGAGCTTTTATTGAGCTCAGTTACTTTGAATAACTTTAATCTCTGGACCATGCCTTATATTTGCACTAGTCCTCCCTGAAACAATAGGTACCTACATGGTTTGATGCTGAACAAACAGCTTTTGATACAGAATATGATTTTGAATTCAAAGAACTGTAGAGAGAGTAGCACGGATCTTATGAAAAGTCCTCTAAGAGATGTGTTCAATCTTACTCCATACACTGGTTCACAGCAGGATCTCCTGGCTCTTACTAAGCTGCAGGTGAAGTAACTGTGTATTTCTCCTAATGGCTCTGGTTTTAGTGCTAATTTTTGTCTGGAGGTATATTCTAGAAGATTTTTTCTCTGACAGATTAAGTAAATCTTCAGGTGTTTGCCTGAAATGTGTGTTGTTTTGGTATTTTGTTTTCTTAACAGACAGTTATTCAAAGTTGAAGGTGTTAAAAGTGTTTTCTTCGGACCAGACTTCATCACAATCACCAAGGTAAGCAGAGCAGAGATTCAGATCTGCTGAAAGATGAGCTGATATCCAGCTGTCTAATAACTGGCCATAGAGAAGATCCAGTCAGATTCTTGGGTGTGTGTCGTGAAGGCATCAGAGGCAATATTCACAAGCAGCATAAAGGGATTTGCCTTTAATATAAAAGCAAAAAAACATGGTAACATGTGTACGAGCACTGGATTAGGTTGCCTAAAGCTGTAGATTCCTTGATCTTGGAAATGATCAGCATGAGGCTCTGTGCTGTATGTGCAGCTTGGAAGCTGGCTCTGTGTCAGGCAGGAATTGGGACTGGATGACCTCCACAAGGCTTCCAAGTGAGTGGCGTTGTGACGGGGATGGAGTCCATGCTCGCTGTGTTTACCCAAGGTGTGGAGCTCATGTCAGCAGAGCTAAGGTGGTGGTAGTAACCATGCAGGTATCCTCTCACTGTGTGTGAAGAGCACAGGCCAAGTCAGGGAATGATAATTTGGCTTCAAATGGGGCCAAACAATCTCAAGTCTCTGAAACGGTTGGGTAAAAATACGTGTTAAATAATGTATTTAGGAGACTTTTAGCTCTTTAGCTAATGCTTTAATAGCACTTGGCTTGCAAACAAGGAAACTTTTCTATTGACCATTATAAATTGAGTCTTGCTGAACTTTTTTGGCAAAGCTGGACCTGGACCTGACAAAACTATGAAATCAAATCCATGCATTGAATGTGAGAGCCCATTATGATGTTTTTAACATAAGAAGAATCTCTGCCTAATTTAATATTAGGAGGCAGACACTCTGGTTTTATTCTTTTTTTCTTTCTTTCTTCTCCTGATTCTCACAGGAGAGTGAAGACCTGGATTGGAACTTACTCAAACCAGATATTTATGCAACTATAATGGATTTCTTTGCCTCTGGCTTACCTGTAGTGACAGACGAGGCACCTAGGACAGATACAGGTAAATCAAACTCCTCAGGAAGAGGCCAGTATCTGGCTTTGGGTTTAGTTTATGTGACATCCAGCAGAGCTTCTGCTTGTTCCTCAGATATACTTCCTATGTGTGAAATACTTCTGAGAGTACTGAGGCTTTAGAAAGCTGGGGGGGGGGTTGTGGCATATCCTTCTTGTATGGGCACCTACAAAGGGTTTTACTTCCCTCCTTAAATCAAGAAGAGTGCTCAAGCTTAATGGTAGGTTTATGGTCTCTAATGAACAAGAAATTGTAAGAAGTCTTTTCCAAACTGTAATGAAAGTAACTGAAACTAACTTAATATTTAGCTCGGGGGCAGTATTTTGCTATTTATTTCCTCATTTGCAACTTAACAACTTTAACAATTTTTCCAGTGTTTTAAGGAAGGTTTTGGCTATTGAATTCCTCTCTTATGCCTGGATTTAATTTCAATATTCACGTAGGCTTTATTGTATTTGGAAAAGTTGTCTTAAAAATGCTTCTGTGAGACTAACACTGAGCTCAAAATTGCATCCAGAACTCCTAAACCCAGGCATGGTCATAATTCTTCTCCTGCTTTGGTTTTTTTGGTGCTAAAACCTTCTTAGGACCCTGCCTTGATCTGTGAATCCTTACTGAATGTTAGTTGTTACTTCCTTTAAAAGGTGGGACTGCTGTTGTCTGTTAAGGCCTTTGCCTGCTGAGAACTCTGAACTGATACTGGTTTTTGTTGGGGGAAGCCTGGGATGTAAAACAGGACAATGCAGAAGGAGATGCTCTGAATTGAGACTTCTACCTTCTGGTTTCAGTCACCTCAGTGATGTTTTTATGCTCTTCCATTCTGCCATTATGGATGTACAGGGTTAGTATCAGAATTCTCTCCCAAGTTCTGATTTGCACTTTTTGCCTTTCCCAAGGTGCATCAGAAGATGATGATGAAGTTGTACTGATGATTAAAGAACTGCTGGATACAAGGATAAGGTAAACTGGGAACACTACTCTGAGATGGAGTGAGATAGTCTTGGGGGTGGATTTATTTAGGGAACAATGTGTTTTTCTTTGGGTATGTGTGATTTCATGGTCCAGTATCCAGTGGGGGGTGTTAAAGTGCAAAACTGGCCAGAGTTGAGAGTGCTGTTTCCTCTCATTAAAAACTCTCTGTCTAATTTCCCTGTTTAAGCAAATTACGTGTGGAACAGAGTCCTTATTGCTGAATGATTTTAGAACAGTGTATAACCTTACCCTCCATAATGCATTTGAGCAGGTCCATTGGGTTAACCTGGCTACTTTTAAACAGTGAAAACAACACAATCTTTCTGTCAATCTGTCTTAATTGTACTTGTCCTTCCCTTGCAAGTATTCCAAACTAGTTTATACTCTTGTATAATACTCTAAAGGAGAATTTACTAGTGTTTTTTCCCCTCACTGTCTGGGCTTCAATTGATTTTTGTCCTTGCATTCTGCTGCAGTTTTGTTGGTGTTTTAACAAGCCTTGAATTTAGAAACTGGTGGTAACTAATGAAGTCTCAGGAGTGGTTGTGGATCATGATGTGTACCTGAAGGGTGGTTTTATGCTCATTAATTGCCTTCCAAAGCAAACTGAAAGGAATAAGCAACTTGACAGTTTAGATGCAGGGGAAAATGTCTGATGTGGGTCAGAATCGTGGAATTCAGTTTAATTTTTCCAGAAGTTATGACAAACTTGGGCTTTTTATTTAGTTCTGCTGCATTTTAAAGTGGTTGTCTCACAGCTGACACATGGTACTGGTTGATGTTCCTGAAAGGAAAGAGGGGAAAGGAATAAGCTGGAACCCTTTTCCCAAACATATTTACTAAGTGTTGAAACATGTATCCCAAGTATACTGTAGTATAAAGCCTCGTTCAGGAGGCCCTGCTCCTGCTGGGTATGTGCTTGGTTAAGCTCCCTCAGGTATGTTAGGCCTTGATCTCCTCTTTCATAATGGTCGCAGGATTTCTGCCCAAATTTCTGCTTTTTCCCCACCTTTTGCTTTCACTTCCTTCCCCCTGTCCCCTCGGTGGGCCAAGGTGTTGATGAGAGAGAGCATTGGCAGTAGTGTCTCTTACTTCATTCGAGAGCAGGATAGTTTACAGAAGCTATATATACACCAGTGGTACACACAAAGCATTTATTATTTAGTTGATCAATAATACGTGCAAAGAAGTTGTCAGGGAGTGCAGGATGGAGGGAATGTAGCTCTGAAAGGTCCTGTGGTGTGTTAAAACCCCCTAATTTCAAGTGAGAAAAAAGGAATTTTTAGTCACATTCTTTGGCTTTCTGGAACAGAGATCATTTCTGTGGCGAGTTGTTAAGAAATGTGTAGATGTGTGGATGATTCTCTTAGGAGTGTAGCTCTCAAAGAGTGACTTTGGAAAGCAGCAGAAAGAGCTGCTGTTAGAGTAACCTGATGGTTTTAGCTTGGTCTGGAGAACTGTTCCTGTGGGGATACAGTTACAGTGCTGGGCATTTGTGGCTTGCAAGAGGAGCCCAGGCTGCAGAATACTAATGGTACTGGGATGTGATCTCAGATGCTGGTTTCTTTATCTGCTAGCAGGATTAAGCTTTCCTAGTTGGGAGTTTTTTCCTGTCCTGTGTACACTCTGGTGAATGGTGGATTTATTTATGGAGTCACTTACGGACTTCTTATCACTGTCCCTGCTCAGGTAACAGATGCACATACATGGTGTGATAGGACACACCCCTGTTGTATTTGGCACATAACAGCATTACGTGTGGGGAAGGGCCTCAAGACAAACCCATATGTCCATGCAGGCTGAACTGAGCTCTGCTCTGAGGTGCTTGCCCTCACCCCTAGAATTTCAGTGATTCCTTTGTATGCTGCTGCAGATATGTTTTGCTTAATGTCTTGTGGTAAAACAGCAGTCAGAATCCATCAAAGTATGAGTTGTTGGACATTTGAATCAGGTGGTTTTAGCGAAAAAGGGCTTCAGTTCCTCTGTCCTGCCAGTTCTTTGTGTGTGTTAAATTTAGCTTTACTAAAGATTTCTGGAAGGAAACATACTTCAGCTATACTTGTTTTAAATTGAGTATCATGTTCCACCAGGCCGACAGTGCAAGAAGATGGTGGTGATGTTATTTATAAAGGCTTTGAGGATGGGATTGTGCAGCTGAAGTTGCAGGGTTCGTGTACCAGCTGTCCCAGTTCCATCATCACCCTCAAGAACGGGATACAGAACATGCTCCAGTTCTACATCCCTGAAGTAGAAGGCGTGGAACAGGTGGGTTGGTCAGAGGTAATAGCTGTGTGCTTTCAAATGGAAAAGGTCTTTGTCCCTTTCCAGCATGGACAGGTTGGCAGTTTAAGCAGAAGTAGGGGATTTGTAGATGCAGTTTTTCCCAGTCAGAAGCTTTATCTTAGCTAAAGATCCAGAACTCTGCAGTGTCCCGTAAACTCCGACTACCAACATGTGCTGGGAACTTGTTGGAGCAAATCCAGAGGAGGCCACAAGGATGCTCAGGGGCTGGAGCAGCTCCCGTATGGAGCCAGGCTGAGAACATTGGCCCTGTTGAGCCTGGAGAAGAGAAGCTGCTGGAGACCTCAGAGCAGCTTCCAGTGTCTGAAGGGGGCTACAGGGATGCTGGAGAGGGACCTTCATCAGGGACTGGAGCAACAGGACACAGGGTGATAGGTTCAAACTGAAATAGGGGAAGTTTAAGTTGGAGATAAGGCAGAAGTTCTTCCCTATGAGGGAAGACTCAGAGTCTTTTGCTTTCTCATTAAAATCTAATACCTTGTAGTGATTGTTCTGGTGGCCTCTGGAATAACTTCACCAGCTCCTATTACTTCAGCCGCATTTCCTCCTGGTGTTATTGATAGCAAGTGTTTCTTACCTTCTCCATGTGACCATTGTCCTTCAGTGGAGTAGAATAACTGCTGTTCCCCTTGGGTCCAGCAAGGATTTAGTGTAATAAATTCTCTATGCAATCTGACAGGACTGAGAGTTTAAGCTGTTTACCTAAACTGCTTCTGGATTTGATTTCAGGTTGTTGACGACGATGATGACGTGGAGAAAGAAGCAAATTCTACTTGAGCTGGCTTCCTCTGTGGCCAAATAAGTATTTACCTCTTGGTGTACATAAACTATCCTTGTGCTGAGGAACAACCAAGTTTGCCTTTTGCTTCACTCTTACATCTGTGAAAATGTATCATCAGTGTAAGCAGTTTGTCTACTAAGTTATTAAATGCCCTGCATTCAAAAAAGAAACCTTTTGCTCTACTTTGCACTATGTCTTAAGCAAGAAATGATAGGCTTTTAAAATGATGTGTCTCTCCTATGTTCTTTCATATAAAAATCAAGAGTGAAAGAGGCCAAAGTAAAGTTTCTTGCCTGTTTTTTTGTGCAATAGAAATATTATATGTTTATTCCCCCAAACCTCCTTATGGGGCTCACCGGGGCTGACTGCCCTTGCTCTGTAACTGGGGAATTCAGGAATGTTCCTTTTAACCAGTCTTGTTAAAAAGCTTTTCATAGGATTTTTGTGTGTATGAAAAATTAACCCAGAACCTCAACTGTTTGTTCTAGAGGATGTAATGTTGCCATCACTTGTGGAAAGTTACATACTCGCTCACTACCACTGTGCAAATAGCAACAGGCAGAAAAAATGTGAGTGTTTTGTTATAAAAATTGTATCTTTTAAAGTAAATGTTAGATGATCATGATCCTTATCAGGTTTAGTTAGTGGAGAGACTAATTAGCTTATTTAGCAGTAAAATTGTTCAGCCACCATTAGTGGTCTGTTTAAACTTGCAAAAGATGGTTTCTTAACATAATACTCCAACATCAAGATGAATGTGTGGTGCTTAAGGGCACAAATTACATTTGTAGGCTAGCAAAGAAAACGAACGTGTTTACCTCTGCCATATCCTGTTCGCTCCTTCTGCAGTGCCAGAGAGTGCAGCATGTGTGTAATTTGGCTTCCCTGGCTGAGCAAGCGAAGACGTGGCACAGCAAAACATGTTCTGCTTTTAGAGATTATGGGAAGAGAAGTATTTATTGTTCTGCAATGGAAATACGTAAACTGGGCTTTGCAAATACCTCTGTTTACTTGAGTGTGTAGGACTTAATTTCTTCCTGGTGCCTGGCTTTACCAGGTGGCTTTGCTATGGAGGTACTGCTTCTTCTCTCTGCTGCCACAGTCGAGTTTGCAGTTGTTATGTGGCTTCTGGTTATAGTCATTCCCTGGGTGCAAGCTTCCAGGGTGTTCCCCTCTTTCACTCCTTGCCAGTCTAATTCCACTGAGTCCCTAATCAGGATCAGTTTGTCAGTGGAGAAACTTTACTGTAGTGTGCAGATAAGCTTATGCTAGCCTGAAACTTCATAGAATCATGGAATGGTTTGGGTTGGAAAGAACTTTTAAGATGATCCAGCTCCAACCCCCTGCCCCGGGCAGGGACACCTTCCACTAGAGCAGGTTGCTCCAAGCCCCTGTGTCCAACCTGCCCTTGAACACTGCCAGGGATGGGGCAGCCACAGCTTCTCTGGGCACCCTGTGCCAGCGCCTCAGCACCCTCGCAGGGAAGAGCTTCTTCCTTGTATCTAACCATAAACTTCATATTACTTGTTCAAAACTTGAAAATAAAGACTTTAGCAAAATATTTCTCCAGCTTTCATGGGGAGTGATAACCTACTGTCACTGACATTACCCACTCATGATTTGACAAGTGGTTTGAAATCACCACGTTTTCTTTACCCTGTTATGAAGCAACACAGTGCCTGATGCTGCAAGTATATTAATGACAAAATTCCCCTCGAGGCAGGCTCAGATTACCCAAAAGAGAGCTTGTGCAAACGTTATTGCCACGTTCTTTGTCAGCAAACCATAGAACAGCGAGTAATGTTTCTGGATTCTCAAAAATACAGCTTTTGAGGCCTAATTTGTCGATTTAATGCACTATCTAAGCCAAAACTTAAACAGAAAAGTAGCTGGTTTGTGTGTTAAATAAAACCTAGCTCTTAAAGATGTGGTCTGTATTCTGTAATTAAGCAGTACTAATCTCCTCCAGTTACAGTAAGGATCCAGTTCTGCCACTGTCGTTGTATTTCCAGTCTTGTTTTTGATTAGATTTGTACAGATAGGACCAGATGAAGCCTGTGTATAATGAGGCTGAAGATTAAGCATCTTGTGATCTTGAGACTGAAGAGCTTCCATGTCCAGCGTCTATCCTGTGTGTCCTCAAGCTCTGTTGTGGAGAGAAAAGCACGTAATGCTCACATCCCATCCTCTTATCTGTTCAGTCCCCTCAAATAAGCTCTTCAGGGCAGCAGTTGTGTTTCTACAGCAAAAAGCAATAGGGAAGTTCTCCAAGTCTGGGCAAACGAAAGCAGAGGGAGGGGCTTAAGTTCCAATTCTTACCTGTGGAACAAACCAAACCCCAACTGTGTTCACAGCATGTTAATCATGCTCTAATGCTACAAACCATAAGCTCTAATACTGCAGGAGCACAGTGTGAATCATCCTGAATCCCAAGGAGTTTCCGCGTCAACCTCCCAAGCTCTGGAACAGCTTAGTCATGGAAGGATTCTCTGTTAGGGAGACGTGTTCTGTCTCCTCTGCTCACCCAAAAAACCTTCCCCATTCACAGACACCAAGGCAAACAGGGGAATATTGGAATGACATCAGTGGTTTAGCTTAAGTGTCCTCTGTGGACGGGCATATAACAGGATGTTCTTGCAGCCCTAACACAGAAAGGGCACTTTAAGCTGTGCTTTAACGCTCAGGTCAGCAAGGGGGAAGTTCTATAAAATGCAGTCAGTCAGAACATTTAAAATAGTAATGACTGTCTGAAATTATTCTGGTGGGCTTTAAAGGGGAAAAAAAGAGTACTTTGGTATTTCTGCTGTGGCTTAGATAAGTGCAAAACTACAGTCAGCCTTTCAGCCTGTCTGGTTTTCACTCACGTGGCACAGACCAAATCCACTCCTGTCTCCGGAGTGGATTCTAGCACTCTCTCTTGCAGAAAGAGATGATGACAGCTATCTAAACTCATCGTCTTCAAACTGTTTGCAGGTGGACATGTGCTTTTTGTCAGGAAGTGACTCATTCTGTGCTCCTAGGAGGGAGGATTTAGCCTGTGTGTCTGTAAGGCAGACTTCTGGTGATGCTGCTGTGCACGGTGTGAAGCACCCACAGCCCCGGCCTTCACTGAGAGCAGCTGTGGAACAGGTACTTCCAACCTGGTAGCAGGAGGAAATTGCTCACGTTCCCTGATGTCAATCTGCAAAACATACTCCTCTGAGGTGATCATTTGCAATCTGTCTAAAATTCAGGAGTTAATCCAGAAATTCTGTTTCAAGTGAGTTATATTGAGCTTAGAGAAGAAGGAAATGGGTGGTTTTTTTTCTTCCCCAACCACGACTCCTTTTCCCCTTTTGTTCATTTTCAAAGGCTGACATGTGAGAGGGAATTTGGGAAACTCTTTTCACCTTTCTCCATCTGGTAGTAAGTGTCACATCTACATCTGTGTGAACAACGTGTGGTAGTAAAACCATGTATTGTGTGTGCAGCAAACCTCAGAATGAAGTAGCACATGATGTAGGGGATAAATACTGGCTTTTTATAAGGGAAAAAAATGCAATGGACACTTCCAGAGTAAACACATGGAGCTAAATATCTGTGTGTGTATATTTCTGTGGCATCTGCACTAGATCAGTGTGTGTGGATGGGTGAGCCTCAGTTTGAGGGATTCCTTTCTATAACATCAAGTATGGCATAGGTTTAACCCCTAAAGTTTGGTGTTTGCTGATGTGAACTATGTGTTTTGGGAGTGTTCGTCAGGCCCGTCTGTGCTCCCTCAGGTCTGGGTGCCCCTCGTTAGAAGTAGGGTCAAAACCTTTCAATTTGTCTTCTGATAATGCTGTAGATTATTTGAGGTAGATGTTCTGTTCGTGGTAAGAAGTGATGAACGCGAGCTGCTGCAGAGAAACCCTGATGCAGGAATGAACCAGCAGGAGACTTGGGTGTGCCTGGTAGATGGTTAACAAAGAGAATTGGAACGGCAGCCCATGCAGAGGGAGAGGTATTTCTGTGCCAGAGTACGTTGTGTGTATTCCTGGTGATCTTTCTGTGGATTAGTAGTTTCCCTCTCATCTGGGAAACCAGGTTCCACTGCCACACGGCTTTCAGCTCCCCCCTCCCTTAGTATCTATTGACTTTTATAGTGTTAAGATAAAGTTAAGTGAACAGCATTTTTCTTGAGACGAAGTCAACAACGATTTTCTTAAGCCAAATTTAAGCAAACAGCATTTTTTTTCTGAAGGGACTGCTCTCTTTTGTAGCCTTAGGCTTTTAGTTAAGTTCTCCCAGCACTAGTTGACCGCGGCAGTTGCACACAGACAGCATAACCGAGCCGGTGAGCCTCTCCTTTGTCAGTCCCGCCCATCCCCGTTTGCTTTGCAGTCTCATCTTGATGGTTTCTTTATTTCCCGGGTCCGGGCTGCCATAGCACAGTTGGAACAGAAACTGATCCGACAGCCCACGAGGAATTGGGGCAGGGTTTGGGGTTACAGGAGCCCGATGCTTGCTCCCCACCGGAGCCTGGCCGAGCCCTTTGGCTCTCAGTGAAAGGTTTGGGGGTAACCCCGGTCGGTGCTAACGGGTGACACCCGCCCGAAGTCGCCTTCCTCCGCCCG